AGTACACACAGCATAAGGCAACCATTATATGGCATCTGTTATACACCTTCATTAACTCTCACAAAACCTGTTACATCTCATTGTAGTATGTGAATGAATGAATGCCTTTATTGTCATTGCACAAGGAACAATGAAATTTGAAGACAAGAAAAAGTGCAAGGAAAAAAGAAATGAAAAGAGGAAGGACACAAACATGTACATGTGGTCAGGAAGTGATCATGGTTTCAGAAAGAAAGTCAGCCTCAACATAGATTGCTGTTAGTCACCCTGTAAATGAAAGGGTTTATGGGAAATTTTCTAGACTTATTAAAGCTAACAAAAAGACCACAAAAGAAAATATAATAGTACAGTTCAACAGTAATGGGCTGAATAGCCTCTCTGTGGGCAATGAAAAGCAGTAACTGGTGCTTTTTTGACATTATCTTTTAACTTGTTCCACTCAACCTTTGAAGCTACATTATAAACACAATTTCCAATAATAATAGATTTGCATGTGATCATTTAATTAAATATATTGCTTATAGAGCAATATCCAGAGGTGGAAAATTCAGGTTCAGAAATCCAGACCAAGATTTTGTTTCAACTAACCAGTTGAGTACTCTGTACTGTGTTTTTTTATGCTCATCTGGTTGGTTGAATCAAAATCCTTGTCTGGATTTCTATTTTCTGAACCTGAACTTTCCAATTCTGGTGATATCTTGATTTAGAAATATAGTGTGTTGCTGGAAAAACACATGTATAACGTGTAAATCTAAAACAAATTCCATTTATTGTAATTATGTCCAAAGGGTTCAAAAAATTTAATTAAAACAATTAATTGGAATATTTTAATATTCCCAAAACCCAAAGTTGTTCTTTGGTAATTGCCCTAAATATGCCTGTTTACCTATGCTTATTTACAGGGACATGCACAGACATTTTGAGGGGCAGGGGCTCAAGTGAAATAAAGGGCACTCTCATAATTACGTATTTTTTTTCTTTTTTAAACAAAAAAGTATATATATTAACGCAACACTGACTTCCTTTTTAAAAAAATAATTTAAAAAGTTAATTTTATCTTCCTCAAACTCATGGAATTGTTTAATTTTCAAAAGATGTCTACAAAATAATCAGTTCACACAGAAACCATGGTCTCCTTAGTATTCACTAGGTTTATAGAGCAGCAAAGGAAACCATTCCACAATGTGCATGTTTTGAAAACATTTTCTATGCTACTAGTTTCAAGTATATATTTAGATTAGAATAACCAAAATAACTGCATCAAGCAGAGGGGTGTGTTTTACTAATAATTTGTTTATTTTTTGCACAAGGCACTACATCATTTTAATTATTTTGGTGTTATCAGAACACATAACACTTTTAAATCAACACAAATATTCACGCTAAACTGAAGAGGGTTGTTGCTGGTATTTTGTTAACTTTACTGAAAAAAATCACTGCAAAAATGATTGAAAAAATACAAAAATACAGCAACTTAATAAAATTATTACAAAA